TTTCTTGGCTTTTGCTTTTATTCTGGTGGAGCATGGGAGATAACATTTCTGAGACTGCTTATGAGAAGTTCAATGCTATTCAGCTTCCTGATCCTTAGGATTGGGTCAGATTTTGTTCTTTCCTTTCTGGTGTCTTTAATATCTTTTCTTTATCCTCAGTGTTCTGAAATTTCCCAATTAAGTGGCTTTGTGTCAGGAGGCCCACTAATCTGGAAACTCACATCCTCCAGTACTAAGACATTTTCTTAAGTTACTTCGGTGATAATTACCTTACCTCTGATTCCATTCTCTTTCTGGATCTTCTGTTAGATGTTGGATCACCTGGACAGATTTTCTGAATTTCTAATCAATTTTCTCCTGTTGTTTTTTTTTTTTCCATTCTTTTTGTTTGTAATTTGTAGGAGATCTCCTCAACGTTATTCATTAACTTTCCATTGGAGTATTTTCTCTTTTTAATTCTACAAGTTCTTTTTCATTGTCTCCTGATTAAAAAAAAAATAGGATTCATCCTTTTTTTTCCTGTCTTTTTTTCATAGATACAGTATATTCTCTTATTTCTCCAAGGGTAACTTTATGGTTTTAAAATATTCCTCTGCTTCCTGCATTGCTTTTGTTTCATCTGAGCCCCCTTTGCCCCGTTTGTTTTGTTTTGGTTGTTTTTGGTCTCCATCTTTCCTGCTGGATGCTCCAGCTGCCTGGAGCTCGTTGTGCACGTGCCTGGTGTGTGGTGGATAGGGGTGGAAGGTGATCAGGGTAGAGGACGTCATTAGGGGACAGCCTCTCTCCATCTGTCCCTAGGCTGTACTGTTTCATCGGAGAGGAATCCCTCCAGCTCCAGATTGGATGGTAGAAACTGGAGGATATTCAGCACCTTACCCTCAGCCAGATTTTATTTGTGTCCTGGATTTTAAAGTCCTACAGATTCACTTTTCTTCTCTCTTGTGCTGGGGGAGTGGGGTGGTTTCTAGAGGATCTTACTGCTTCATATGCAGAATTTCAATCAATGCTTCTATTTCTATTTTTATTTTTTTTAGAGATGGAGGTCTCCCTATGTTGCCTAAGCTGGCCTCAAACTCCTGAGCTCCAGGGATCCACCCCCTCAGCCTCCCGTGTAGCTGGGACCGCAGGTGTGCATCACTGTGCCCAGCAACGCTTCTGTTTTCAGCCTGAATTTGTAGCCCCTCTTTCAGAAGCAGCTGATGTCACCAGTACATGAGACTTTCTGGGCTCCTGCCCTAGGAACTTGCTGGTTCCTGGGCTTCCCCCACTGCTAACTTAGGTTTCAGCCTTCTTGGGGCTCCCAAATCAGTTATTATTCGTCCATCTGCTTCCCAGCCTTGAAAATTTTGTTGCGGGTTGCCTCCTTTTCTGTTCTCTCTGTCTTGTAGGTTTACTTCTTAATGAAATCCCTTTCAGTTACTAACTGAGAGATTGGGAGGGAGAGAGGTAGAGGGTGCCTTCCTCATGTGTGCACAGCACTTTTGAGTTTACACAGTCCATTCACATCCATTCTGTCATGTGTCTCCACAAGACCCCAGTAGTCCAGGCAGGGGAGGAGGTTTTATCTGCCATGTTTAACTAGAAATCTGAACATAAATCCTTAAGTGGCATTTGGACAGAAGTGGACAAGAGTTGGAAACAGAGGTGAGAGGTGATTTCACTACTGTCTCCTCTGCTTCCCCATGCTCCCCACATGGAATTTAATGAGAAGTGAAATGCCATTGGCGACGAGGGCCCAGTGGGAAGGGGAATTTGGAATCAGGGCTGCTAGAAACAGTCTGGGTCCAGGGCACCTGCAGTAAAATTGCTTTGATGTAGTAACTGATGATGTGAAAATTAAAAGTAGAAAATCAAAGGCAAAGCCTGATAGTGGACGGTAGGCATTGAGGGAAGCCTTTAGAACTCCTTCCCTCTCTTCTCAGTTCCTATTTTTCTCTTCAGTCCTATCATTTCTGCTCATGTGCATGCATGTATGTGTGCATGCACGTACGTGTCTGTGTTCCATGCACCCATATGTGCACAGGGATCCGTGTGTGAGCATACCTGCATGTGATATGTACATGCATCCATGTGGGTTCCTATGTATGTTTGTGTGTATCTGTGTGAGCACATGTATCTGCATATGCATGTGAATGTACTTGTGTGTGGCGAGGTAGGGAGCAAAAATTACAGCTTGTGAATTTCAACTTGGCATAGTAAGGAAAGCTAAGGATTTAAATTAGACCTAGATTCAAGGACGCCTGTTGTCTTAGGCCACTTGAGCTGCTACAAGAAAATACACAGACTTGCAAACAGTATAAATTTATTTCTTACAGTCCTGGAGGCTGAAAAGTCCAAGATCAAGGCACGGGCAGATTTGGTGTCTGGCGAGAGCCCGTTTCTCAGTTCATAGATGGCGCCTTCTGTGTCCTCACATGGTGGAGGGGCAGAGAAGCTCTCTAGGGCCTATTTTATAAGGACACTGATCCCATTCATGAGGGCTATGGCCCTATGACCTGATCACCTCTGAAAAGGCTGTACTTTCTTTATTTTATTTTATTTTTTGAGACGGAGTCTCACTCTGTCGCCAAGGCTGGAGTGCAGTGGCGCATTGTCGGCTCACTGTAATCTCCACCTCCTGGGTTCAGGCAATTCTCCTGCCTCAGCTTCCCGAGTAGCTGGGATTACAGGTGCACACCACCATGCCCACCTAATTGTTTTTATGTGTTTTTAGCAGAGACAGGGTTTCACCATGCTGGCCAGGCTGGTCTTCAACTTCTGACCTTGTGATCCGCCTGCTTCCTAAAGTGCTGGGATTACAGGCATGAGCCATCGCAACCTGCCTAAGGCCTTACCATCTAGTACCATCACCTTGGGGGTTAGAATTCCAACATGAATTTTGGGGGGAACACGAACATTCAGACCACACTACCCATATACTTTTAGGCAAGGCTCTTGCCTTATCTGAGTCGCTGCTTTCTTACCTGTAAAATGAGGCTTATGATGTCAAAGCTGGCTACCACGTCATGGGGGTGCTTTTGAGAGTTCCTAGAGCTGTCTACGGGAAAACGCTTTGTAAAGTGTCCAGGCTTATGCAAGTATCATTCATTCATTCATCTGAGAAACACTTACTGAACAGAGTCCCCATCCTGAGGAGCATACTTTCTCTTGGAGACAGAGACAGGCATGTAACCTACGCTGCACAGAGAACCTGGAGGAGCACAGGGGAGGGGAAGATGGGCATTAGCTGCAGGAGGAGGAGGCCCTTTAGTGGTCACGGTTGGGAGTGCTGGACATGGAGTCAATATTGGACAGGCAAGTGGAGGCAAGCAGCCTGGATTAAAACCCCTTCAGGCAGAGGAACACAAGTGCAAAGACATGGATGTGAGAGAGAGTGTGACCTGTCAGTGATGAGCCACAAGTGGGTCTCGGGGCAGTGGTCTAGCCCTGAGTGCCACGATGCTCTGGCCCACTGCCTCCCCTTCCACTGGGGAGGGGTTCACTCTAGAGCCCATTCTTTTATTTGCTGTTGAATGTAACAAGTATTTATTACGCTCCCACCCTGTGCTGCTGACCCAGTGGCAGGCTCTGGGGATGCAGCAAGGAACCCACCCGGTGGTGCCTGAAGCCATGAGGAGCCCCTGTTAACAGCCCCAGCTCCCATCACCCCTCCACCTGCTCAGACCGGCTATGAAGATTCATGCAGAACAATGTCAGTGCAGAATTTTATGCTGTTTTTTCCCCCTTCCAGGGGAACGTCTGCCAATGGCTTTTACGATGCTGAATAAAATGCTTTTTTTCCCCTTTAGATATTTTTACTTCACCTTTAAAGGATGTACAGTAAGGGTGAGAACATCTCGATGAAATATCTGCAGTAAATAACTCTTGGATCCCTTTCCCAGACAAGTAAAAGGACAAAAGGACGATATGCTGAGATGGCCTCTTCACCTGCATCAATGCCAAGGCCAGAGTGGGGCTCAGCTACCCACCCCCAGGTACGGAGGGTCTGGAGGAGAGGGTCAGGGCCCTCTATGGCCCCTGGGGTCCATGTGTCCTAGCCACTCTCCCCATCTATGGGAAGGGGCTAAGGGTCCTTGGCCTGCTAGAGTGCATGCCACATGCTATGCTGGGTACTTCACGTTGGTGTGAGTGTTAAGTGGACAGGACTGCGGATCTGGTCTGCCTGAATCTGGCTCCTGCCTCTTTCACTTGGCCAGCTGAGAGAACTTGGCCAAGTGAATTGACTTTCTGTGGCTCAGTTGCCTCATCTGTAAAATGGGAATGAATGTGTCTACTGATTAGGGTTGTTGGGATGAATACATAAATTCATACCGGTAAAGAACCTAGAAGAGTGTCTAGGATATAAAGAAATGTCAACACATGTCAGCTGTTTTATTATCCTTCTTATTTCCTCGTTGCATCAGCTGAGCTGGCCTTGGCTGCGTGCCTGTCTTACCTCTCAGCTGATGGTGTTTACAAAGCCCAGCCAAGGTCCAGCCTTACACCAGCCTATGAGAAGGGTGAGGCTTGGGAGAGTTGAGTGACCTGTCTGAGGTCACCGAGGGGAGAGTTCAGGGGGTTTTCAGGGTTCAGTGGACAGTGGGGCTGAGGGAGAAGTCTCTGTATAAAGCAGGCCCCGGGAGACCTGCACAGCCCCTGAAAGTTCAACTCCAGAAGAACCATTGGAACATCTTCCCCTTGGAGCTGGCAGGCAGATCCAGAAGGGGCCGGGGGTGGGTGACTTCCCCAGCACAGAGCCAGGGTCTGCACACACCTGTCTCCACTGACTCCTGGGCCTGGTCTCACTCTTCTCTGCAGTGAATCCATTGAGGGAGGGTGGATTCATCCCCTTGGGGGCCTCAGACTTAAGAGGTTGCCCCTTGATCCCCAGACCCAGGAAGGGGGGTACCCATGGTCATAACCAGTGGAGATTCGAATGCTTGACTCTAAGCTGGGCTGTGCTCTGTGTCGTGGGTGGCAGGGGTGGGGACCTGGCCAGGGGGCATGGGGTCAGCTATGATACATGCCCGCAGGCTCTGCTGGACTGAGAGGACACCGGCTGCTACTGTTTTTAATGAAGCTGTCAGCTGGGCCCCTGGGGCACAGGAGCTGGCTGGGCTGAAAATCATCAATTTACACAGATGATGAGTCAGAGGCTTGGGTGGGGCAAGGGCCCGGGGGTCAGCAGGGCAGCACTGGAGGAGCTCTGTCGGGAGATCACGACATAAACAGGCTTGGCTCCACTCTGGTGGCCCTGACCCCACTCACCCAACCCCATTGCAGAGGCTCCCCTTTGATGTTCAGGTCAGTTCAGCAAACCTGGCCTCAGCCTCAGTTCCATGCCAGGAACTGAGCTAGTGCTGGGAATAGAGACAGACCGCAGTCCCTGCCCTCAAGGAGCTGGGTCTGATGGTGGAGATGAATACTTACATAGGCAACCCACCATGATATGATATTCATCATGAGAGAAGCACAGGAGAGGGCTGGCTCCGGAAGTGGATTGCTTGTGTTTAAATCTTGGCTCAGCCTCTCCCTAGCTTTAGGACAGTGTGCACGTTATTGAACCTCTCCTTGCCTCAGTTTTCGCATCCGTGAAATGGGATGAACTGTAATCTATTTGTGACTATTTTTGGTAGGTAACAAATACCTCACACTCAGAGATGTAAAGAAACAACCATTTTACTATGCCTGGACAGATTCTGTGGTCAGGAATTTAGGAAGGGCAGCGGGCGGTTTGTCCCTGCGCCACGATGTGGGGGGGCCTTGGCTGGAGGACTCAAATATCTAAGGGGAATGTGAATGGCTGGAATCATCTGGAGACTTCTCACTTACGTGTGACTCCAAGGCTGGACTCAGCTGAGACTACCAACCAGAGCGCCCATGAGTGGCCTCTCTGTGTGGCTTGGGCTTTTCCCTGTGTGGTGCACTGGTTCTGGGAGGCGCATCCTGGGAGGAAATGTCTGGAGGGTGAGCATTTCGAGAGACCATGGTGGAAACTGTGTGACTTTTTATAGCCCAGCCTTAGGCACTACATTACATCACTTCCACTGCACTCCTGTTGGTCTAGGCGGTCACAAGCCTGCCCAGGTTTATGCGGAAGGGATGGTTTTAAAACTGTCACTCTGCCTCATAGATTTGGATAATTAAATTAAATGAGACATATGCAGGGTCCAGGGCAATGCCTGGCTTATAGTATTATTATAGTTGTTAACAAATGTATTATGGTAAGTTATACTTGAAGGTTAAGTTTTATATAATTAGTAAAGTATAAATAAATGTTAAGTATTATACTTAGTGCTGTTGGAGGGAGGAAGTGGTAAGGAAAGAATTCAGAGAACAGGTGCTGTCTGAGCAGGGTTTTGAAGGATGAACAGGAGTTTGCTATGAACCTTTTAAGGAACACAATTTAGGTAGGGGAAACAGCTTGGGCGAAGTCATAGGAGGCTTGAAACAATGACGTGCTTGGGGAAACCATGAGTAGTTTGGTGTCCTTGCAGCACTGAGGGCAAGGAAGAGCATGGCTGAAGTGAAGTCGGAGGGTTGGTGAGGTAACAGTGTCTTGTGGGCCTGACTGAGAACTGAGAAGTCTGGGTTTTGTTCTGAGAGGATCAGGGAACCATGGAGGGTTTCAAGCAGGAGAGCGACACGGCCAGGTTTGTCAGATCATTGTGGCAGCATTGTGGAGGAAGGGTTGGAGGGAGTAAAGTGAAGTCTAGGGGCCAATGGGGAGGCCCTAACAGAACAAGGACCTGACCTAAGGGTGTGGCAGTGGGGACTGAGGGAGGGAGATGATGCAGAGCCATCTAAGCCATGATGTTCACTGAGCAGGGGATCACGGGAGGTGGGAGTGGTCCAGGGGAGGTCGAGGTCTGTGGCAGGAGCGCCAGGTTGGATGACATCGTTCTCATTACTGAGCAGAGGCAGGGGTGTGTGGCCACCACTCACCCTCCTCCCGCCCGGGCCCTCAGCCTGCCGCCTCGCTGGAGGACACCTTCAACCACACCTTTGTCTCCTTCCAAACTGGGCCACACCGCTTGGGATCCGATGGGCCATGGAGGCGAGGGAGAAACAGTAGAGGAGGACTCTCTCTTGACAGCAAGGTCAATGTCTTTTGCCTCCAGTGCCCCAAGTTTGTGAAACCTTTCCCAGGAGCAGAGGGGCCTCTTTCCTCGGAGACTTACCCTGGGCTGAGGGCCAAGTGTTGCTCATCTTGGCTGGGGGTGACTTGGGCCACAGAATGGCAGAATCCTAGAACGTTGGAATGGGGAAACCCTGAAGGGAAGCCCCGAGTCTGATACTAGACAAGACTGGGTTTGAGCCCTGGCTGTGCCTCTTCCTGGCTGTGCGGCCAGGGCGCTGTGCAGAATGGAGGCCACACTCCCACCTTCCACACAGACTGTGGGGTGGGGGGTTAAATGGGACCACAGACAGGAATATGATTGAGAAGTGCTTGTTACAGCTGAGATGCCATCCGAGAAGAGAAATCTGGGGCTCAGAGAGGAAAGGAATTGCTCAGTGCCACCCGGTAAATGAGCAGCGAAGCCAGAGCTCCAAGCTGAGCCACCTGATTCCCTTCCAAGGCTCCTGTCCCCTCCCCAAGCATGCAAGGGGGACAGGACTATTCACCTGTATTTCACACTCCTCCCCAGTGTGGTCATCTGGGAGAATTAACTGCCTGCCTTCTGGAGCCATCTCTCACTCGTGTCTGAAGCCCCAGTTATACAGAGATGGGAGAGCATAGAACAGAGATTTCTGCCAGTATCCCTACCTCTTGGCAGGAGGACAGAAGTGGACTCTTTCTCAGAGAGAGTACTTCGTCTTCAACCACTAGATCTGGGTTCTAGTTCTGGCTGTGACACTTTCTAGTGGAGCGACCCTGGGCGATCACTTCTTCCTGGCCCCCAGGGTTTCCTCCTCTCTGCAGATAAATGTTTTGTAAGTCTATGATTTGTGAGTGACCATGCTGCATGTGACAGCATAAACATGGGATCTGGGCCAGGAGAGCAACGATCAGCAGAGTATAGCACAGAGGTCAAGATGCGGGTGCTGGAGCCAGCATCCCGGAGCCGGCCGCTCTGTGACCCTGCACCCAGCTCTGTGACCCTTCCCACCCCCACACCTTAATTTCCTCACCAACAAATGGAGATCCAGCGAGATAACACATCCCAAGTGCTATCAGAGTATGGAGCCATGACAAACCCTCAAAGAATATCAGTCATTAGATATGCTGAGAGCCTATGGCATGCATGCATTTTATTTACCGAGACTCCTCAGCTGGTCAAATCATCCTGACAACCCTGAGAGGTGGTGGGGCAGAGGCGTGACTATGTGCTCCCCAGACCCAGGTTCCTTTTCCTCCTGGACACACAGTGGACTACACTTCCCAGCCTCCCTGCAGCTGGGGCCATGTGACCTAGATCTGGCCAGTGAAAAATGAGCAGATGCAACACACGCTATGGTGTGCAGGCGGGCCCCTCAGACCTCCTGTGTGAGGCTTTTGCACTCTTTCCTGCTTCCTCTGCTGGCTAGCTGCAGAGGATCCCGCAAAGGATCTAGAGCAATGATTCTCGTCCAGGGGCAATTTTGCCTATGGGGCGACATTTGGCAATGTCTAGAGACATTTTTGGTTGTCACAACTTGGGGGAGTGCTACTGGTGTCTAGTGGGTAGACTAGACAGGAATGCTGCTAAACATCCTACCATGCACAAGATGACCCCCACAATAGAGAATTATCCAGCAGATGTCAACAGTACTGAGACTGAGAAACCTTGGTCTAGAAGTGGAGTTAAAGCCCTGGGATGGTCTAAAGAGAAGCTCCTGGGTCCTTGAGTGACTGTATGGAGCTCAGCCCTGCTGCCACCTCCATATTAGACTGTAAGAAGAAGAAATACGGTGTTATAATGTTAAACTACGCAGATTTTTAGGATTTTTTGTTGGAACAGTTGGCCTACCTTGATGAATGCAGGTTGCTATTATTATGTCCATTTAGTTGATGGTAACTGAGATATAAAGTTACCGGACTTGTAAGTGACAAATGGTGGGTTTGAACCATGTTTGTCTGGCTCTAAAACCTGTGCTTGCCTTGGTATAGTGGTATAGTGCAGCCTCTTTCCATCTCCTGATTCTGTCCCCTCTGTCTGCATCCCCTGGAGGATTTCACGTAGAGCAGCTGCAGAACCAATCACCAAGTTGCTGCCAGGGTTTCCCAGTATGGGGCCTCCTGCTATTGGGTGGAGTATACTCCCCAGAATAAGCTGGTTGTGTCCTTCATGGTCCCATCCCAGGCAGCTCATGTTGGTTATCTGTGACACCCAGCCCCTTAAAAAGGGTTGGCACATACTCCCTGCATGTGCCCACTGCCCCACTACAAGGAGCCCCCTTATCCACTCTGTCTTTCTCCCAAGCCAGCCCCCAACCAGCTCCTGGTTTGAATTTCCAGGCAGGTGTCTGGAGGCGTCTTGGCTCCCAGTTAATTTCCTGATTTGGCTTCCTGAAAGGCAGGAGGGCTTGGAGGTGGCTGCCTGGAGCGATGAGGAGATAGTGATGTCTGCTCTGGTTTCCTGCCTGTCTGTGGGGACACCCTGCCCATCAGCCTACAGAGGGCCCCTCCCTGGCAGTCCCCGCCATACAGAGGGATTTGAGGGTGGGGGCTGGGAAGCTGAGCTGCAGTGGGCTGCAGAGCCTCATCAGGGAAAAACATGGATGTTCAGGCTTTGAGTGTGTGTGTGCCTGCGAATATGTATAGATGCCCAAGAGTTGTAAGAGCCTCCAACATGTCATTTGGCTCAATCCTCTGTGTCCACACAAGTTAGCACCTTTCCAGAGGATTTTGATCTTTTGAAAAAGTACCAAGAGTAAAAGACCTCTTTTACTTAAGTAACTTTCAAGGGTGAACTCAAGCCTGAACCAGTTCTTTGACACGCAGGAAGTCCTTCCTTGAATCTGCTCCAAGTTTCTCTTGCTGGTCTGAGTCCATTGTCTCTATTTTGTGGAACTAGTGACCTTTTTTTTTTTTTTTTTTTGCCTCCCTGATGTAAACCCTTCAAGTACCTGTAAACAGAAATTGAGTGCTTCCCTCAAAATACTTCCAGATTCTCTTTTGCAGACCAAGCAATTCCACCTACCCACCTTTCTTCATGGAGGAGGATGACGACTGGGGACGTGTACAGTAGGAAAAATGTGCTTGCAAGGTGCCTCTTCTCTCCTTTGTGGAGGTTTCTCTCTCTTCCTTTAAAAGTCCTCACGGCTGCAGAAAAAACACAGTTTTGGGGGGCCTAGAAAGCGTGGGCTTCAATCTCAGCCAGGTTATTTAACGGCTCTGAGCAGGGCTCAGTTCCGGCACTTTGCACAGAGCAAGCCACGGAGCAGATGCTCGATCGATGTTTATTTCTCCCCGCTGCCTTCCTTCAGGTGCCTGTGCGCTCCCTACCCTTCCTACTTTGTCTCTGGCTGCTGCTGTCTGAAAAAGGACCAGAGGCGCTCATGACCCACACCAAACCTGGTTAGCTGGGTGGGACCGGCACGTGCCATGTGCGTAGGAACAGGCAGCAGGCCCCAGCCGCAGGGGAGGGAGAAGGCTTTCCTCGTTGCCTCTGCTCTTGGAGTCCACTCTCCACCCCTCTGGCTGCTGAGTCATTCTCTCAGCACCTTCTCTCTGCATCTGTGTTATTGTGTCGGCCCCAATGCCTCGTCTGCTGAAGCACTGACCATTTTCCCAGGTGTGACATAGGGTCCCTTCATTCCCGTACAGCGGGATGCCCCAGGTTTCTTAGAATCCTAGAGTGCTGGAGCCATTTTCCAGATGGGGAAACAGAGGCCCAGAATGGGGTCCCCATCTACCTGAGGCCTCCAATCAAGTGGGGGTGAGACCCCAGGTATCTTGACTGCAGGCCCAGTTTTATCTCTGTTAGAAGTGGAGCTTTGCTGTGAATCTAACTGCCTAGGAGGGTCAGACCTTTCAAATGCCGGGATGCAAAGGTCCCTGAACACAGCACGGGCACGAGGGGTCTGTCTAAAGAGTTGTCTCTCTCTTTTGCAGGAGGAGGAGGAAGAAGATCCGGGACGCCCTGAGCATAGGAGGCTTCAGGGGGATCACAGCTCATTTTCCTGAAGGCTGGTGTAGCATTAAGTTCTTATGTCTGCCAGCAGCCTTTCAGATTGGCTACTGCCACTCCTGTCTGTGTGTTACATAAATCCTCACCGCGAACTGCAGAGACAGGAAGCAATTAGGTGAGTGAGGTAGGGAGAGAGCGAGAGAGTGAGAGAGCGAGAGGGCGAGAGAGAGAGTGCACACAGAGATACACCCATAGATTCAGACAGAGACAGAAAGAGAAAGTGAGAGACAGAGACAGAGAGGGAGAGAGATGGTAGGACTCAGGCAGAAACATAGTCATACAGAGACAGACAGCGAGGCAGAGAGATGGAGTCAAAAGAGAAACCGAGAAGAGGGAGAAGGCAAAGAAGACAGACAGAGGATCCGAGACAGAAAGGGACACACAGAGATATACAGAGTGAGGCAGAGAGAAAGGAAAGCAGGAACAGAGACACTCAGAGACAGAGGAGGGAGAATTGTGGACACACACACAGACACAGAGGGAGGCTCAGTTAGACAGACGTAAAATTTGACTTAAAAAGAGAGATTTAGCTGGGGGCAGTGGCTCACACCTGTAATCCCAGCACTTTGGGAGGCTGAGGTGGGCGGATCACCTGAGGTCAGGAGCTTGAGACCAGCCTGGCCAACATGGTAAAATCCTGTCTCAAACCTTAGCCGGGTGTGGTGGTGGGCGCCTGTACTCCCAGCTACTTGGAAAGCTGAGACAGGAGAATCACTTGAGCCCAGAAGGCAGAGATTTCAGTGAGTCAAGATTGTGCCACTGCACTCCAGCCTGGGCAACAGAGCCAGACTCTGTCTCAAAAAAAAAAAAAAAAAAAAAAAAAACGAGAGGGAGAGACAGAGAGAGAGAGAGACAGAGAGAGAGGCAAAGACACAAAGCAAGACAGCAAGCAAGGGGATCCAGAGAGACGAGTTTTCCTTTTGCAAAATTTAGAGATTAAAGGGGACTAGAAAAATAATTGTGTAGAAGTTTATGTTTTCACACACACTTGAGCTTTGCCAAAACCCGGTGGGGTAGAATGGATGGTGACTATTATCACCCACATTTTAAAGGCAGGAAAGCGGAGGGTCATTGAGATACAGTGAAATCCGGAGCCCCATGAACCTGCCAAAGGCAGGGTGGTTGCACCTGGACTGGCCTCACTAACAAGGCTGATGTTGCTCTGTGCGTCTTAATAGCATAGAGCACCTTCATTGAGTGGCCCAGGAACCAGGGACGTGCTAAGGTGCTCTGGATTCTGTGTCCAGTATGTCTTCTCACGCTGGGGTGGGGGTGGAGGTCACTGGGGAAGTACAGCAAATTTGTGATTTATGCCAGCCTGGTATAAATCTTGCCCCTGGTTGGAAACTTGCCTCTTCCCCTCTGAGAGCCAGAATGCTCACTGCAGTTAGTTTTGAGCATTGAATGCTCAGAATTAACTGTGTGCTTCTTGTTCACCTAAAACCCTGACCACAAATGGATACTTACTCTTTTTGTTTTGCAAGAGTCTTGCTCTGTTGCCCAGGCTGGAGCGCAGTGGCGCAATCTCGGCTCACTGCAACCTCCACCTCCTGGGCTCAAGCGATTCTCCCACCTCAGCCTCCCCAGAAGCTGGGAGTACAGGTGCATGGCACCACACCTGGCTAATTTTTGTATTTTTTTGTAGAAATGGGGTTTCACCATGTTACCAAGGCTGATCTCGAAATCCTGGGCTCAAGTGATCTTCCTGTCCTGACCTCCCAAAGTGCTGGGATTACAGGTGTGAGCCACTGTGCCCAGCTGACACCTGCTCTTATATGAGATGCCCAGTGCCTCTGATAGCAACTAGGGACTTTAAGAAGCAGCAACTTCCTGCCTCCATCCCTCCCTTTCTCTCTCCTCTTATTCATTTTTCAAATGTTCAATATGTGTCAGGCAACCGCACTAGGTATTGAGTAATATGACAGTAAACCAAACGGATAAAAATCCCTGCTCTCAAGGACTGCATTTTAGAGGGCAGAGACAAAAAACAAACTAACTAAATAAGATATACAGCATTATTAATGAGGACGAGTGTTGCGGAGAAAGAAGTAAAGTACAGAAGGGGGTTGGGGTATCTGCGGTGCAATTTGAAGATGATAGCTGGGGAAGGCCTTACCTAGCAGATGACATCTGAGTAAAGAACTGAAGGCAGGGAGGAAGCCATGGGAGTATCTGTACATGTGCAAAGGCCCTGAGGCAGCAGCAGGCCTGGCAGGAGTGAGGGACAGCAAAGAGGCCAGTATGGCTGGGGGAGAAAGAATGCAGGGGAGAGTGGGAGGTGACAAAGGCAGACAGACAAGGAGCAGAGCAGCCTAGGCCCTGTGGACCATTCCTCCGACTCTGGCTTTTATCCTGAGTGAGACCACTGGGGGGTTTGGAGCAGAGCAGTGCCATGACCTTACATCTTAACACCATGGCTCTGATGGCTGGGTGGAGCCTAGTGTGAAGGAGGCAAGAACTGGATCGGGGAGATGCATTTTTTGTTAGTGAGGTTCCATGAGGGGCAAGATGAAAAAGCTCAGTACCTACTCTGGCAGAGAGTCGTACTTAGTAGGAGGTAAGGGGTTCAGGGGGGTGGGTGACCTTTGCCGCCACACTGTACGCCCCAGAGGGAAGAAAGGGCTGAGCCTGCAAGGCAAGCTTCTGAGCTAGACATAGAAGGGAGGGCAAGGAAAGCAATTTTGTAAAGTACATATTAGGTGCCGAGCACTGTTCATACCAATACAATTTAATTTAAATCATCACACCAGCTTAGGAGGCATTTTCCCCTTTTCATAGACAAGGCCCCTGAGGCTCACAGTAGTTAAGGAGCTTGACTGAGCTTATGCAGAAAGTGGGAGCTTCGGTGTCCAAACAGACGCTGCCTGCTTGTGCAACCCCCACGTGCGCTTCTGGGCCTGATGTCTCCCCAGGTACCCTCTCCTTATTCCCGCATCTAGGAAATTCCAGGGCCTGTTGGTTCCTCCTAAGGATACAGCATCTTGGTTCCCTCCTTTCCTCTTTGTCGCCTCTGCCACCACCAGGGTCTGAGCTGGCATTGCCTCTCTCCAGGACTGTTCTCATGGCTTCCTTTTCTGTTTTTGTTTTTCTTTTGTTTTCTGAGACAGGGTCTTGCTCTCTTGTCTAGGCTGGAGTGCAATGGTGTGAACCTGGCTCATAGCAGCCTCCACCCCCCTGGTCTCAAGGTGAGAGAATCTCACCTCAGTCTCCTGGGTGACTGAGACTACAGGCGCGCGCCACCATGCCCAGCAAATAGTTTTAATTTTTTTTGTAGAGATAGGGTCTTGCCATGTTGTTCAGGCTGGTCTCAAACTCCTGGCTTCAAGCAATCCTCCCACCTTGGCTTTCCAAACTGCTGGGATTACAGGCACGAGCCAGCATGCCGGCCCTCTCACAGCCTGCTAACAGGTCTCCTGTGTCTGCGTTCAGGCTGCAGCTAGAGTGGGCTATTAAAGATGCAAATCTTCTCCAGTTTCTCCCTGTTTGAAACCCTTCAGTCACTTCCAGCCACTCTCAGGATAAAATTAAAAACCTTTACTACCACATTCAAGGACCTGCACCAGCAGGCAGGGGCCTGACCCTTTGGCCGCACCTGCAGAATCCCCATCCCCACCCTGGGGGCTCTCTTTAGCCTTGAGAAAATGAGTCAAGCCATTTCCTGCCTCAAGGCTTTGAATAAGCTATTTCTTCCCCCTGGAACACTCCTCTGCAATCCTCTTTCTGGAGCAAGCCCCACTCACCTTTCAGGTTTACTCACCTTTCAGGTTTCAGATACCAAGTTGCTTTCTCAGGGGCCTCCCCTGATCACTGGAGAAGTCGGTGTCCTGAGCACATGCCTTTTCTAGCACTCAGGATTTTCCTTCAACGTTCATCATGGGGCAAAGACAGGACGTGGGGAAGGAAAGAAAGATGCCAGTGGAAGGGGAATAGAATGTGAGGCGTCAGGGCATGCAAGGGTCAGGAATAAGCCACCACTACAACTATAGGGAAGACTGGCTCCAAGGACAAGTGGACCCGTCCAGGGTCATGTGCGTAGTGAGCTGCAGGCAGCACCTGCACCCTGTGCTTCTGACCTTAAGATAGTGACACTTCCTTGATGTCTCTTGTCCAATTCTCATCTTCCTCCCCTGCATTCACCAGAGAGATGGCCAGGGGAGAAAATTAGGGACGTGACACTGAGAAATGAGCCATTTGTTCCCAAGCATTCAGCGAGGGTGGAACTTAGACAGAAACACCAGCACCCATTTCCCAATGGGACCCACTCCCGCCAAGCCACCAACCGGTTCCCATAGGTGTGGCGGGGATCCGTCTTTGCCCTCGTCACTTGCACCCTTCACAGCAGCTGGAGAGATAGACAGACCTACCCAGTCCGGTCCTCTACACCTGCTGTTGCAGTGGAGTGGGGAGGGGGCTGGAGCCTGCTGTCCCCTCCCTCATTTCACTCTTCGCTCACTGTTTGATCAGAGCCCCACCGCTGTCAGCTCTCTAGTGGTAGACACATTTTAAGCAGAGGGCTGGGGGGCCAAGGCTGGGGAGAGAATGGTGTTGGCGGTGAGTGATCATGACAGCGAGTGACTCGAGAAGCGGTCAGCGATGCCTCACTTTTCCTCTGGGGAATCTCACCTTCAATACAGCCTTGGAAATGGAATACATTGGCTTAAGAGAAATAAGACCTCAGGCCAAATGAAATCAGGAAGCAAGCTCAAAAGAAGCAAAATTCCCTTTTCTTCTGTTTTGTTCTCCTGTGTTCAGTACCCACAGGGCTCTGAATTTTGCAGGTGCCTGCTTACTCTCACTTAATCCTAGAAAGTGAGGGGTGTCTTGGGGACCAGGACAGGGAGACAATGACAGCGGGTAATGAGGAAGGTCACTGGTGGTGAAACACAATTTTTCCTGTCCTGATCTCTGGGACTTTGATTTTATCCTGACCTTGTTGGGAGCAGATCTGGTCTGACATTAGGCTTGTTATTTGTCTGTCTTCATCGTCTAGCCTCCTGTGACAATTCCCACTGGTGCTGGCTTCTTGCAGAAGGCATGAGGGTGGTGCAGTGAAAAGGACACGGACCAGGAGCTGGGAGCCTGGACTGAAAAGCTGTGTGATCTGAGGCCCTCACTTCTCCTCTCCGGTATCCATTTATGACTACAGGCCATCAGGGCCCCTGGGTAGATGGCGGCAGGGCAGTGTGGCCAATGCACGTGGCCAGGCCCTCTGGGAGGTAACTGGATTCAGCGGGGATAAGGCCTTGGCTGCCACCAGACCCTGCAAGTCTAGTCTTGTTGCACTGGAAACTCCAGGATGGCCTTCTCTTGCCTGGCTCCTTCCCCACACCTTGGCATCCTCATTGGGGTCCTGACCCCAATCTGCTTCTCACTCACTGATGGGAATTTCCCTCCAATGTAGCAGTGGCCTCCATGAAGCTCATCTCCTCCGGGGTGCAGGACACTTTATTTAGCAGACACAGGGCTGCGGATCCCTGTCTCTTTCTTCCTGACACCCTGGCCAGAGATAATTGTGAGACCAGATGGAAATGTGGGATTTGCGGAAGGATGCTTCTCTTCTAGATCTGGGCCTGCCTGTGTGGTGGTGGTGGGCATGGGCTCCCCCAGGGGAATGTGGGCTTGCAGGGGTGAAGTCTCTGTTTATCTGTCCTGGGGTTGGTGTTAGGAACCAGAACCAGGGAGTAGAAGACAGGATGCAGCTCTGGCTTAGGCTCTAATTCACTCTGAGCATCTCTTCCTCTCTGTGGGCCTCAGTTTCCTTATCTGTAAAATGAGACCATGGGACCATGGCAAATGATGGTTCATAGGCTCCTGCATCCGAACTATCTGGCTGCTTGTTTAAAATGCCAAGGACCAGTGCCCTTTACAGACCTTCGGAATCAGAGCCCCTGGGGAAGGGCCTGGGAATCTACATTTTCATAAATCCGACCGGATGTTCGGATGCATGTGACGTTTGAGTTGACCACGGCCTGAGCAGGTGGTCCCTAAGCACCCACGGGCATGAGTGCCATCCCAGCTGGACTCTTCATGCTTTGGCATGTGATTGGGTGTTAGGTGCCGTGTGCCAATGTCACATGTCATGTGAAGTCCTAGAAGACAATCGGGGGAGTTCCAACTCAGAGAAGAGACTATGAAGAAGGGAACAGTCATCACGTTCAGGGGATGCCAGGGGGAGAGATTGGGCTTGTTCTGTGTGACCCTGGAGTTGGATCTAGGGCTCTGGGTGAATGTTGCAGGAAAGAAGTACTTCTAACAATCAGAGCTCCACGGGGTGTCTTCCGTGGTAGTGAATGCCCCGTCAGTGTAGGAGTGTGGGCAGATGTTGTGTGCTCTCCTGGGGAAAATGTTGTAGAAGAGATTCTAGCAGCAGGTGGGGAGACACTGGGTTTGAAGATATTTATGAAGGTGGCTTCTAAGTCAGAGCTGCTAGGATTCTATAAAAATCAAGGAGCTTTACTTGCCCAGGGTTTAAAGCAATGTGTATACACCCATGCACACTCCTACTCACATATGTACAAAGAGACATTCATGTGTGCAAACCTTCAGACACGTGTGTACATGCACAGCGTACATGTTTACCGACATGATACAGAGCATGTTTTCATATATAAGTGCACACAAACACAAGACAAATACGGCATCAACAAACACGCACATACACGGCAGTTCACACAGCACACATCTGCCTCAGTCTCTTTTCTCTGGCTGTTTATTTTGCCCCACTCCAGAGCCTGGGCCTCCCCGTGCAGCTTCCACGCTGGTCTCTAGAGTCAGAGCCTTGTTTAATCTCCATTAGCTCTCTTATTTCCTGCACCAAATTAAAAGTGTGACCAAAAGTTAATTATTCTAATTCAATTTGGCCCTAATGTTCTGTACGTGGTGATGGGGAGGCCTGCGTGGAGGTGAAGCTGGCATAGGCAGGGGGAGGAAGCGTCAGAATTTAGTATGTCTTAATGACTCTTACAGGAAAATGCCCTGAAGCTTTCTTCTCTGCGGATTTTCCCTGCCACTTCCCCAGGCCCAGCCCCCAGATTTTCTGGAAATCTCAGGGTGCTTTTGGGAGCTTGGCTTTGGGAAATATTTGAGAAGAGAGCAGGCCTCTCTCTGGAGGCCAGGACCGAGGTGAAAAGTCTTGTGTGTATGTGTTCGTGTGTGTTCGTGCACAGGTGCCCATGTTGATAGAACACAGACCAGACTGTCAGGTCAAAAGGCCTCCAGAAAGATGAGCCAAGGCCTCTCTTGCTGAGCCTTCATCCTTGGGTAATGCTGAGAGAACTGAAGATCACAGATTTTGCCGGACATGGGAACAGCCAGCCCTCCTCTCCTCCACCACAAATTAATTTTCAGATCAAGCCCCTCCCTCTGCCTCCCCACTACTTAGACTTCTCCACATATTCTTGCTCAGGAGTGTAGAATCTTGGGGGCTCAAATCCAGCTTTCCCCAGTAGCCAGGTCTTTCCCAAACACTAAGCCTGGCCCCCACATTTGAACATGGGGCTCTTAGCGGGTGCTGAGGCCAGGGACAGCTAGGGCAGATTCTGAAAAAAAGTTAGTCCTGTCTCTACAAAAAATACAAAAAAAAAAAAAAAAAATAAGCTGGACATCGTAATGTGTGCCTATAGTCCCAGCTACTTGGAAGGCTGAGGTGGGAGGATGGCTTGAGCCCGGGGAAGCAGAAGTTGCAATGAGCCAAGATGGCGCCACCACACTCCAGCCTGGGAGATGGAGCCAGATCCTGTCTCAAGAAAAAAAAAAAAAAAAAAGAAAAAGAGTTAGGATTCTTGTCCTGAGGGCTTTTTGTCTCCTGAGAGTGTCGAGCCCAGGCCTAGGGAGATCCTAGACTGGTGGAGGAGGCAGCATCCTAGTTGGGGATGACAGATCATAAGATCACAGAATCTAAGGTCTTGAGGATGTTTTTGCGATATGTCACTGATGTCAAGCTGCTAGCTGATGCTCGTGTGGCTTCTGCAACATTCTCACCTGTTTGCACAGCCAGGAATAGAAGCTTGCTGCCTCTTAAGGTCACCCGTTCTACCTCTTGGCAGCTCTGTTAACATTACCTTCCTGTGTGTGGAGCTGTAATCTACATCCCCGGAAATTTCCTCCCACTGGCCGTAGAGCTGCTGTCTCATGTCACTTGGCTCTATGGTGATGGATAAAGTATTTAAGGACAATGTACAATGTTGTCTGTGGAACCTCCTCCTCTACAGGGCAACAGTTTCTCAGCTGTTTGTCATGTGATGAGGTTGTGAGCTAACCTGTGTTAGTTGGGATAAGCCAGCTGCTGTAAGAAAGACACTGTCTGCAAATCTCAGTGGTTTAATTACCAGCAGTTGGTGTGTCACTCACTTATTTGTCCAGTGCGGGTATTCAGTGGACAACTTTCTGTGCAGTGATCCCACATCCCTGTTTCCTTCCATCTTGGGGCTCTTTCCTCTCCATTTAGACAGTGCATGGGGAAGAGAGAACCTGAAGGTTGCCTGCGAGGTTTTTATGAGTTGTGTCTGGAAGGGACGCACGTCATACTTGCCCACACTCCTTTGACCAGCGCTTAGTCACATGGCTGCCCTACCTGCAAAAGAGGCTGCAAATAGAGTCTGGTGGCGTGCCCAAGAGGAAATGGGACACGGTTTGGTGAATAGCCAGTCTACCGTTGCATCCTTAGGTCATCCTTCTCCAAAATGCTCCAGCTTGTTCATATCCTGTTTGAGGGTGATGTTCAGACATTTGAAAAAATAGGGGGCTAGGTATGTCCTGATCAGGTACTAATGGAGCTCACCATTTCCTGAGCATATAGTATGTTCTAAGGGGTGAAGTGCTGGGGCTGGCTCACACCAGCTCCTGAAAGCCAATCTGGCACACCTCTTCCCTGCTGCCTTTTCAGGGACATCACGTTGGTATCTTGGAACGAGTCTTGAGGGGAGTGTTGAAATCAAGGAAATGGACACATGCTGCAAGCCAGGGCTCCTCCCCAGCCCCCCAAGCTTGTGTCAGCACCCAACCCTCTGGCTTTAGCTGTTGTTTTGCAGGAGCCTCACACCCTGAAGAAGCAGGCTCTGCCATTTCTATTTTATGGTTTAAAAAACTAAGGTCACAGGACTTGCCCAGCCAGTGCAGAAAGGGGCCAGACCCTGCTTCCCTGTTCTGGATGCATCCATCTCTTAGCTGTTTCCTTCAGATGGCTGTCAGGATGGGAAGAGCTGACCCCGACCTCAGCTGCTGGTCTTATGCAGGGTGCCGTGTCTCCTCTGCATTGTCACCTCCTTGTGGCCGGGACCAGGTCTCAGTCTTTGTTCAAGGAAGTGTCCAGCACATCAGCACACAGTGGGAGTTAAGCTGTTTAACCAAATCTAGTAGGCCTTGTCCTGGGGAAAGTTCCAGCCTGTGAGAGAGAATAGACCTTTTCCCAACAGAACTCCTTGTCTGATGGGGGAGGAAGTGCCCTGTTGTGTGGGTTCTCCAGCCTGAAAAAAGGGATAAAGGCCTCCACTCACAGAAGCCCCAGTCTGAAGGCATGAGGAGTCTTGGGGGCTTGGAGTTATTTGGGGAGCCATAGTTCTTTCCCATCAGGAACTCCTAATCAGATGGAGAAGGATTTAGATCTAACCCCCCTCACCAGAGTGTATTGGTGGCTATGGATGAAGTTTGGCTGGGAATCAGGGGAGAGAGGGGGATTAATCTGTAGGGAATGTGGGTGGTATCCTCTACCCCTATAGCCAAGAGCTACTCGAGTCCATACGCCCCAGCACAATGTCTTCCCTTCCAAGAGCTCAGGGATGTGACTGCAGGTCAGGGGAAGTGAATGCTCCACAAAGAGGCCTAATGCCTCTCTTCTGTCCCCTGCAGTTTGAGCCTTCATTTTTATCTTCTCATGAGAATGTGCCCTAGATACAGGGCTGGGCAGTGGATAGGAACAGGGGCTTGGTGCTGGCCCAAAGAGAGGGAATGTGTCTCCAGATGCAGCCCACTGGCCTCCCTGTGTTCCTGCATAGTAAGTGCTGGGGTCTAATTATTAGGAGCACTGATCTGTAGCGTGCATTAGGAAGAAACAAAGGGGAGTTGTATTTTGTTCTTAATCCAATTAGGGAAAAATACCAGGGGTGGTAGGTTTGTCCGTTATTCACTGGCTTAGCCAGCCATTCACCTGGGCTTTCTGCCTTAGCTGCCTCACTCGAGTGAAGCAGAAAGGCACAAGGAATAAGTTAGCAGCCTGAGTGGCTGAAGGGTGAACCAGGAGGGAGGATGAGTGGTGCATGGTAAAGGCAGGGGGTCATCTCCAGGATGAATGAGAAGTTGCCTGGACTTCACCTTTAGGCGACCCCAACACTGACCTTCTCAGTGGACAGCAGGCATCTAGATCCTAACCAACAGGATAGAGTTTGGTATAGGAAACTTCAAGGTTTCCTTATACCCTTGAAGATCGGGCTGGATTTATATTTTCTGATAATCCTTTCTCGTCTTCCACTTCCTCTTCTCTCTCTCCTTTCTTTTCTTTCTCTTCTTCATACTCTAGGATTTATAAGGTTGGGGAAGAGTGGAGAGGGGTCCCCAGCAAAGGATTTAGCATGAGTAAAATCAAGGAGGGATAGAAGAACCGTCCTGAGCTGGAGGAGGTTTGAGAAGGAGAATACTGAGAGGTGAGACTGGACCAAATGTAAATGACCTTGAATGTCAGCCTGAGAGGTCTTTGAAGTCAGGGGCTATGACTGATTCATTGTTGCACCTCCTGTACCTACCACCACCTAGCACATAGTAAGTGTTCAACAAATATTTGCCGAGAAAATGAATGACACTATCCTGTAGACAGCGTGGAGCCTGAACCTCACCCAATAGAGGGGGTTGAAGGGGAGGGTGGATCCAGATGCTTACTAAGTACAGGTGCACAGCAGGGCACAGTTTCTACAATGTAAAGGCACTGGTATGGGGTTATAGCCCTGGAGAAGCTTGCTGTCTGTATTAGTCTGTTCTCACACTGTTATAAATAAATACCTGAGACTGGGTAATTTATAAAGAAAAGAGGTTTAATTGGTTCATGGTTCTGCAGGCCCTACAGGAAGCATTGTGGCTTCTGCTTCTGGAGAGGCCTTAGGAAGCTTCCAGTCATGGCAGAAGGCAAAGAGGAAGCAAGGCATCCAACATGGCAGGAGCAGGTTGTTAAAAAGTGCTATACACGGCTGGGCGCGGTGGCTCACGCCTATAGTCCCAGCACTTTGGGAGGCCGAGGTGGGCAGATCACGAGGTCAGGAGATCAAGGCCATCCTGGCTAACACGGTAAATTCCCGTCTCTACTAAAAAATACAAAAAAAAATTTAGCCATGAGTGGTGGCGCATGCCTATAGTCCCAGCTACTCAGGAGGCTGAGGCAGGAGAATGGTGTGAACCCGGGAGGCACAGCTTACAGTGAGCAGAGATTGCCCCACGGTACTCCAGGCTGGGTGACAGAGCGTGACTCCATCTAAAACAAACAAACAAACAAACAAAAAAAACTGTACTTTTTAAAAATTATTTTTTGAAATGGAGTTTTGCTCTTGTTGCCCAGGCTGGAGTGCAATGACATGATCTCAGCTCACTGCAACCTCCACCTCCTGGGTTCAAGCAATTCTCTTGCCTCAGCCTCCCTAGCAGCTGGGATTACAGGTGTGCACCACCATGCTCGGCTAATTTTTGTATTTTTAGTAGAGACGGGATTTCACCTTGTTGGCCAGGTTGATCTCAAACTCCTGACCTCAGGTAATCCGCCTTCCTTGGCCTCCCAAAGTGCTGGGATTTTAGGCATGAGCCACCGCGCCTGGCCAAAATTACTATACACTTCTAAACAACCAGATCTCATGAGAACGCACTATCACAACGACAGGACCAAGAGGGATGGTGCTAAACAATTCATGAGAAACCCCCCATGATCCAATCTCTTCCCACCAGCCCCACCTCCAACATTGGGAACTGAACATGAGATCTGTGTGGGGACACAGATCCAAACCATACCACTGTCCAATTAGAAGGATAATCCATTTATGCATGAAGGATTGTAAGGCAATGTGTGTGGGAAATAGCGCAGACTTGCTGGGGAGCTTCCAAGTAAGTAACACATAGTTGTGGGGATAATTAGGGAAAGGTTCTTGGAGAAAACTGGGCTTTGATTTGAATTGGTGGAGGGCAGGTGGGAGGGCATTTCTGGTAGGAGGAACAGTAAGAGCAAAGGCAGGGGGCAATAGGTATTTGTTGGGAGGGGGCAGTGAAGAGGCTGCTCCATTTAAATCAGCTCCTAGAACTGGAAAGACCATTTTTTGTTTGTTTATTTGTATTTTTCAGATCAGCAAACTGAGGCTCAGAAAGTGGAAATAGGAAGCCCAAGGTCACACAGCAAATGCTAAGAGGACCAGAACCTTATGGATCCCAGTCCAGTGCTCTTTCCTGTACACCACACCACTGGCTACCCTTTCAGACAGAGCATAGAGCAGACATGTAACCAACTTAGTCACAACATGTCAAGGGAGGAGAAAGAAGCCCATATTGTGGTGTCCTTTCTAGGCATTTGCATTATTCTAAATGTCTTGCGTCTTTAATATGTTTCCATTTGCAGACACTAGAAAGGTCCTGGGCACCCCGTGGGGTGATGAGGGAAGATGATGTGCACGTGCGTGTGCGTGCGCGTGTGTGTCCGTGTGTGTGACAGAGAGATGGCTTGGGTGGGTGCAGAGTTCCAACTCAGTTTTCCCTACGGTAAGCCTGGGTGCCTGTCTCCTTGACTTTTACCTTGACCGGGGAGGGTAAGCAGTTTCTGTTCAGGGCAGACTCACTGGATCTCACTTTGAGATTTGGGGACTTGGGCTGGAGCTCTTTATTTGACCTGTTCCTCTTTTTTTCTTTTGTGGTCAAAATCCTCCCCACAATGACGGCTTTGGGGAGAGTTTTGCTTTTCCTTCGACTGACTCCCTGCTGTCTCAGACTTTGCAGTGTGCGCATCAAGTTTCTTGGGGCCAATCCTGGCTTTGTTTCTGGGACCTCTGCTGTTCAAAAAGAAAAAGAACAAAGTTGTTCTCTTACTTCCAGAGACCGAGTACAATTTGCCAGGACCTTGGAAAGATAATGCTGTGTAGGGTGGTAAGGAATAGACTATGAAGACTGCTAAATTGCCCCGATAGTGTAAGAAAAATATCAGAGTCAGGCCCCAGAGCCAGACCTTGCCACCAACTCTCTCTGTGACCCGTTCTTTGAGCCTCAGTTTCTTCCCTGGGAATATGGGGAGTTGAGCATGCTTTCTTTAAAATGTGTTTTAATTTTAGCCATCTAAAATCCCGTATTTCTTTATACTGCAATTTCTCCCTTAATCAGATATATTTATTGAAAACTCCTTTTGTACAAAACACTCTGCAATTCCCTCCTCCTTACCTCCTCATACGGAATGTCCTAAAGCATAGTCGCACAGTAATGTATCTCATTACACATCTCATTACATAAGCAATGAGAGGGAATTTTAGCATTAGCATCATGGCTAAGGGCATGGGCTCTGGGGCGGACCTCTCTGGTTAGAATCCTGGCTTCACCACTTATTAGCTGTATGACCTTGAGCTAGTTACATAATCTGCCTGGATCTAAGTTTCCTCATCTGTGAACCTGGGGATACTAATAGTACTTATCTTACTGGGTGGAGAGTAAATGAGGTTATCTGATAAATTGCTTAGCACCAGTCTTGGCTCATAAGAAAGCACTCAGTAAATGTTAGCAATGATTGCAATCAGAATTTCTGTTTTGTTATATATCTTTACTCTCCTGACTGAAATTCCTCACCCGTATCCCCTCTGTTGCACATGCCTACAGTACAAACCACTTAGTGTGGCTCACAGTGTTCCCTCTGACATGGACCCTGACCACATCTTGAGTTTCCAATCCATTCTTTTGCAAAAAACAAACAAACAAAAAAAACCCGTGAAAACTCTCTCTCCAACAATACCCATCTGCTAAGAATTCTCTTAAATTATGACATGGATTCCTCATTCAATGTCCTTGTATAGGAGAGTACCTTTGCCCAGGGATGTCTGCCCTCATCTCAGCTTCAAAACTTGGTCCAGATGCACCCCCATCTGTGATGACTTCTGTAACCCTGCAGGCACCCTGCAGGTTTTACCAAGGACAACCACTTTCCTTGGAAAAATGAAGCACCCAGAGCACACTATCATTGGATGGATCCCATGGTGCTGACAATATTTGTTTACTAATCAGACTTCTTTGCTGTGAGCTACCTGAGGTTGTTCATTGCTCATTTTCATTTTTATTCTTGGTGTCTAACACAGCGCCGGAGTTAACTCTGCCCCCATCAAGCCATCTCTGTCACACACAGAGCACAGAGTTGGTTCTCAGTGAAATTTGCTGAGATCTACATGAAACAAGAAAAGCAGATGTTGGGCATATCAAGAGTATAGAATAAATCAAGTGGTTTTGGGGTGGGTATGCAGGAATAATCCAAGAAGATTTACTGAAGAGATAAGTCTAGAAGTGTGTTTGGAAGCTAGTTCAGAGTCTCCTGCATGGGAGCAGGGGCCTTTGTAGGCCTCATACCAGGTATCGCAGTCCCTACTTGGAAACAAGGAACAGAGTATATGTTCACCTAACCTAAAAACCCCATCTAGGTCCCACCACTACCCCTTTGCTCATGTCTGGAACCAGGAAAACCCTAGGACTCGTTATCTCTAACCCCCTCGTACTCTCTCACAAACACCAAGTCATAGAGTTAACCTCCAAAATATCCCTCCAATCCACCCACTTTTCTCAATATTCACTGCCACCATCCCAGTCCAAGCTACCATTACCCTTTGCCTGGATTCTTTGCCTGTGATAACTTTCTAACTGATGTGTTGGTATTCACTCTAGAGCACTGTGTCAGTTAGAATTAGGTTAAACTGTGAGTAACAGAGACCCAAAATTACATGAAAAGTCTGCAGGTGAGAAGTTCAGGGCTGGCATAGTGGATTTCCTCTATGGTGTTGTCAGGTACTGAAACCCCTTTTTATTTTAATGCCCTGACTTTTTTACTTTGTCACCTCATGGACCAAGATGGCTGCTCCAGCTCCAGCTATTACATCCCCAGTCCACCTGCAGGAAGGAGGACACTCCCATCAAGGATACTTCTTGGATAGCACCCACTACTTTCATTCACATCCCACTGGCCAAAACTGAGCATTGTGGCTACTCCTAGATGTAAGAGAGACTTGGGCTGGAGTCCTGTGTCCATTGAAAGATGAGAGGCACTCAGGAAGACAGGGAGTGTTGATATTGGGTGACAATTAGTGATTTGTACAATAAAGCTCTACAATAAGTTCTTTGTCATTTCACTCTCCAGATTAAAACACTTCAATGGCTCTCAAATTATTTCAAAGCAAAATTCAAACTCTTAATATGGCCTACAAGATTCTTTATGATCCTCTTTTGCCTCAAGTCCCTAACCCCCAGCCCCCATGCTGTAACCATCTTCTCCCTCACTTTCCGTTTTTTTTTTTTTTGCATATTCTATTGCTGCTATCAGAAACATTTGCAGCAGATCTTTTTATTTTTTTATTTTTATTTTATTTATTTATTTTTTTTGCTTCAAGGCATACCCTTTCAGCCCATCTGATTTCAGCACAGCTATTGAGGACACTTCCAGGCATTCCTGTCTCAAACACAGGCTACATTGTTTTTCTGTTTTTCTGATGGAGGGCTTTCTCCAAAGTGGTGGAAAGTCGCTGAGCAGGATAGTTTACATCCTCAGGGGAACTAATGGGGGATAGTAGTTAGTGAGCAAGTGTTTCTGTCCTCTGTTCCTAGAGAAACAATTTTAAGGTGTGTTCTATGTAGTTCTTCAGAGGATCTGCAGCAGGACTGAGCTCCAGTTGCCCACAGTGGAATTAGACCAGTCATATGCATTTTATTGGTCTTTCTTCTTTTTTGTCTTGCTGTCCTTACCCCGTTACTCCAGTTTCCTTGGATCATCTCCCAAGTCAACTACCTGCATCTCTGACCTTGTTTCAGGTTCTGCTTTTAGGGGAAGATCAACTATGACAGCTGATATTAGAGGTCACTCTAAAAAGCTCCCCTTCAGTATGGGATTCTGGAACTGGATCATTAACCAGTCAGACGGCAATAAGGACTGCTTTGCAGGCATCCAGTGGGGTGTGTGGCAACTTTTAATTTACTGAGCATCTAAATTCCTGAGACTTTCACTGGGTGGACTGGGTGTGGAACAGGACCAGCAATGCTAAAAACCAAGACTAGGAATGAATGATAAGGAAGGCAAAGCTGCAAAGAGGGTTGAACATGCAGCTTTGACAGGTCTTTTAGGCTCAAGTCAGATCCCTGTTAGAGAAGGAGTGGGACTATGAGATATGACCTGGGGATATTTGGGTGGATACATCTGAGAACATTGAACTCCCAGCTTCCCCTGAACCCTCCTGGCTGGCAATAGCAGCCTCTTCCCCGCTGTTAGAGTAGATCAGCCTCTCCTTGCCTAACGACCATGCAGAAACCTCTCCTGTGGTGGATGCCTTGCAAGATGATACTTGTCCAGCTTCAAGATCTGCCCCTACCTACTTCTAGATTAATAACTTGCGTCAAGCTGGGCGTGGTGGCTCACGCCTGTAATCCCAGCACTTTGGGAGGCTGAGGCAGGTGGATCATCTGAGGTCAAGAGTTCGAGACCAGCCTGGCCAACATGGTGAAACCCTGTCTCTACTCAAAATACACAAAAATTAGCCGGGTGTGGTAGTGGGAGCTTGTAATCCCAGCTACTCAGGAGGCTGAGGCAGGAGAGTAGCTTGAATCCAGGAGGTGGAGGTTGCAGTGAGCCAAGATTGTGCCATTGCACTCCAGCCTGGGCGACAAGAGCAAAACTTCATCTCAAACAAAGCAAAACAAAACAAAACAAAAAAATAACTCGGGTCAGGTCTTAGCATAGCTCAAAAGAGGGAGTAGAATCCCTGTTAAGGGAGGAAATAGCTTATTCACTGAAAGAGTTGCAGGAGAACCTGGCTACTACGTGGCAACTGGAACTGGGAAATATGTGTGAGAATGGAATTCGAGAAGTTGGACTTGGGTGGGGTGGAATGTAGACTGGAAATAAGACATTTATTGACATGGGGACACTCTTCCAAGACTCCAGATTTAATGTTTTGGCATGGAATCCTGGAGCCTTCTTATGCTGCTGGGACAGGTCCTTGGAAATGTCAGAACTGTTAGAGAAGTGAGGGTATTAGAACAGATTTTATTACACAAAACCAGAAAACCTACCCTGAGAAGGCCAATAGGACACTCTCACCATTAGAATGATAAGCAATGCACTAGTGAGGGAGGCTCCAGCTTCAATGAATGGCTCAGTGGTGGCTGTCCTCTATAGGCCGGGGCGGACAGGAGATGAAGCCATGGGGTTGAGTTCTCTGTGTCAATGGGGATGAGAAGAATCTGGACTAGCAGAGGTCTGGTGGTGTCATTAACAATCAGAGACAAAGTGGACATAATTACCATAGTAGGAAGCAAGGTCAGAGTGACCACCAGTG